CCTCGCTCTGCCCCTTCCTCCCATGTGGGGTTTAGGATATGAGCAGGACAAGTGGGGACTTCGTTTTGCCCACATCCTTCCTGCCGAAGCCCTGGGGGACAAGTTAGCATGGTCACTTGTCAGGGATGGACTTCAAGATCCTTTAGGTCTTCCCAGCCTGAAAATCTGTGGAGTCAGAATGGTGGGGAGCAAATCCCAGCTCTGCCGTTTATTGGCTGTGTGATCCCAGGCAACACTCTTGAACTTGCTCTGCCTGGGTTTTCCCATCTGTATAAAGGGATAATAACAGTACCACCGCATAGTAAAGATAAATACTCCCAGCCTTGGAAAATTCCTTTTCCACTCCTGCAAACCGTTCACTCCCGACTTCCTGTTCCAGCATCTGGGGCTCACACCTCTCCTCACAGATGTGTTGCGGTAACAGACAACTACAAAGATTCGCAAAAATGACAAAAATCCCTGCTGTCCCAGCACAGCCACTTCTGCAGCGAACTGCCAAGCCCTCTGCTGGGAAGCTGGCTTTTACGTCAGTCACCTTTGATGGTTGCAGAAGTCGGCTCTGGGGTCGCTCTGCAGCCATCCGAGTGTGAGGGTACGCCAGGCAGACATGACCTCCACTGCCTACTGTGCTTTTTTATGTTTTGTTGAAAATGATCCATTTCTCTGAGGTTCAGCAGGTTCCTCTCAGGTTCTGCACCGCTGGCCAGTTTTTTAATGTGCGTGGCATTCTTACATCATGTACTTGTCAGGAGAGATTTCATCACATTCCCATTATGTGACCACACTGCACACTATCCAGACTAGAAGAACTGCCTCTGGGTTTTCTCGTAGGCCAATAGTCCGACTAATTTTTTATGACTTTGCAACAAATTTGAATCCATGGAGAGTGTTGTAAAGCTTAAGTATCCCACACATGTGCCCTGTGGGCTCGTGGCTGCCTGGAACACCTGAGGAAGCTTTGCTAGAACAGTACTTCCCAAGTTCCAGGCACTTGAGTGCCATCTAGGCAATCCGGGATGGCTGCGTTGCCACATCCACCAAGGTTAAGGGTCTGTGCTCTCTATATAGACCATCTGGTGGGTTCAGATCCCAGCTGTCCTGTTAGATAGCTGCGTAATCCTGGGTAACACACTTGAACTTTGTCTGCCTGGGTTTTCCCATCTATGAAATGGGAATAATAATAGTACCATTGCAGAATGAGCTCAAGAGAATTAAACACATGGGGAACTGATAGAACGGTGCCTGAGATCATGAAGCCAGTCGTGAGGAAGGCGGTTTGCAATGCCGTCTGAGCTGTGTGGCATCTGCCCAACACCTAATGCCCAAATCTCCTGGGAGACCACTTTCTCTTTATGTCAGTTGTCTCTGGTCCTGTGGCTGCAGCTCACAGACTCCATAATGCTCAGCATCTCCTCTGCCTGGCCCTGCCTCTCTCTCCTCAGGTCTTCTCATCTCATACCTGGCATTCTGGCTTACCAGCGTGCAGCATCCTAAACACAACACACTGTTTCTCACCCCCTGCCTTACCTATGGGTCCTACCACCACACACACCCACAGCACACCAGGCCTGACCTACACCTGCTCATCTTCCAAGACAGCCCAAGCAGAGCTCCATTGCATGCCATACCACAAGGCTTCCATCCAAATCTCTTGTAAGTCATGTTTGTGTGTACACGCAGGCATACGTACACGTGCGTACTTACTTTATTTATCTGTCTATCCATTTACAGAGGTCTCCTGCCATAAGACATGAGGTCAGGAATGTATTCATTTGAAATGGATTTGTAGTGACAAGGTTCAGTGCATATCAGAAAAAATAATTTGGTGACCCATTGAAAGTGTGAGCTCCAAAAGAGGCCCGCACCCACTTCTTAAATCCTAAGTTCACACGATGCTATCCTTGAAAGCTTTTCTGCAAGCTTTGCAATTCTCAGAGACTCTCTAAAAAGGAACTTGCTCGTCATCACTCCTCATAAGGATGTTTATTTACTGCTGTCAGTTTTTAGTTATGCAAACTCTATTTTCTTTAGACCCCATTTGGAGGTGACAAAGACAAGTAATAGAGAGTGGCTGGCCACGCAGGGGAGCAGGCCACATCCCGAGGCCCGTCATCTGCACCCACTGGCTGCACGTGAGGCCCCCCACGTGGGGCTCTGGTCTCTGCCTGTGGCTTTGGAGTCTGGGAAGAGGATAGAATCTTCTCCTGCAAGCCCTGACAAGAGGCACAGTGGGACTGCATCCTGCCTGGGATTCATACCTCAATGGACGGAGTTCCAGTAATAAAATGTCCGTCATGTTTGCATAATGCAGGGCTTTATCTTGAAGACAGAATGATGCTGTATACGCCACTTTGTATTTTTCATGAATTGTCACTCACCTCCATCCAGCCATCAGAACCGTGTAGAGTGAGCTCATTTCTACAGTTCTCCCCTGTGAGCTCATCTCTACAATTTCTCCTGTGGGGAAAGCTCAAGGATAAACCCTGGACCAGGACTTGAGATTGCCAGGGGCAATGAAAACATTGTGTTCTGCCTAGAGATTCTTCCTCACTGTCTGCAGGTTCCTGTGCCCACAACCCCGGGCACAGGGATCCTGGCCCAAGGGCGGAGGGTGGGGCTGAGGCTCCCCCTGCTGTTCTGCCCTCTGGCCCTGCCCTTCCCTGCACAGCCTTCGTTCATGGTCTTGATTCTCAAAATCCATTTCCTGCCATGGGATTAGTTCAATAAACATTTGATATAAATAATTTTAAATTATTTTAGAAGGACACAAACTTCCACGTGTCATATCCCATGTTTTAACATTTCAGAGACCACCCGCAAAATAACTTGTGCTGTCAGATTAACATATTTATATATTTTTTTCATAGGTAAGAAAAAAATCCCAATGGGAATAACAAAATGTTTAGAATCAAATCACAGATGTAGCTAAAATGATACTTAGATGAAATTTTGAAGTCTTAAATACATATACTAGAAAAATTAATGTTTATGATCTATATGTTTATCTCAAGAAATTAGAAAAAGACATCAACCCAAATACATCAGAAAGATGGAAATAATATAGATAAGAACATAAACTATAGGGGTTTGGCGTTTGTGTTAGGTTATTTCATTTTAAGAAAAGATCTAATAAAAATATGGCAAAATGTTAATATCTGTATAATATCGATGCATGTTATGTTATATTCTGAATGTTTCTGTTTGCTGGGATTATGTTATTCAAAATTAATTTTTCATGGGTGGAGGCCAGGAGAAAAAACATTAACTTTGATTTAAAAAAAAAATCAGCACCTACAATTTGTGACATGGTTTTGTGGCTTTCCGTGTGAAGTGAGAGCTCTGTCCAGGGCACGCAGCCCTCCTGCCCCTCTGTGCAACTGCTCAGGGGCACAGGTTGTGACTCTTTGAGAAGTTCCCAGGTCAGCGTTCAGATCAGACCATCCCACATGTACCACCACATGCAGTGGGAGCCAGCCCAGCTCTTTCTGTACAATACAGTCACAGCAGACAAAAAACTGAAAAGAAAATACCTTTTTGTTCAAAAATGTAAGGGAGCGGCAGCAGCTATTAATATCATTAGTGATATGATTTTGAAATAAAAATCTACCACTTGTCTCAGTCCATTCCTGCTGCTATAAAAAAAATACCTTAATCTGGATAATATATAAACAACAGAAATTTATTGCTCACAGTTCTAGAGGCTGGGAAGTCCAAGATAAAGGCACCAGCAGATTCGGTGTCTGGTGAGGGCCCATTCTTCATAGATGGCACCTTCTGTGTGTCCTCCCATGGTGGGAGCTCTCTGGGGCTTTGTTTATAAGTTAATCCTATTCACATTGGGTATTAGGTTCCAACACATGAATTTGTGTGGGGGCAGGGGGAAGGACATGCCAACGTTCAGACCGCAGCACCACTAATATTTTTTCCAGCTTCTGGATACATTTAATTAAAGACTCTCCTGAGCTTGCAATGCTGGTGTGAAGTAGTTACAATGACTTCTTACCAGTGTCAGTCGTGCTTTCTTGATACTATGTAACTAAAATATAATAGAGTGGTAAGTGGAATACTGAAGGCTGCAAGAGCTGTGACTACCAACTTCAACTTTGTCCACTTTTGTCACTCCTAGTCAGGATTCTGCCTCATGTTTTGAAATAAACTTTTTTTGGCACACAGCCACATCCACTCCTGTGGGTGCGGGGCTGCAGGGTGGAGCGGAGGAATTACGACAGAGACCAATTCACCCACAAAGTCTAAAATATTGACTGGACTTTTACAGAGAAAGTGCACCAACCCCTGCTCAAAACAGTCACACTGTTCTCTTTGACTGACTTGTAAATATTGTCATAAACATAAACTTACAAAATTAATTGATAATAAAACACTAGGGCTTTTTCCCCCCATTGGGGCTCCTTAGACGACATCCTCTTAATAAATGAATGAATAAAGCTCCTGTTGCTGATAAAACTTGAAAACTAGTGTGTTCTGGCATTGTCAAAGGGAGAAATGACATTCAGCTCACAGCAAAATGGGAATAGTCCTGAAGGGCAGGCCTGTGAGAGTGAGCCTTCCAGTGCTCACACACTCAAAAGAACTGCCAGGTTGGGCATGTTGAGGCATTTTTAAAACTTAAAATGATTCTGTTAATATTTTGTTGTGACAAAATACAACAAAAGCAGTCCTTCAATGAATTATTTATACATGGTTTAGAAATCCATGGTTATTTTGAAAGAAATACACTGATTTCTGGACGCGGTTGGTAGAATGTTGTTTGTATGTGCAACATATTGAAAGTCTCAATTTTTACGCTTTTGAAAAGGAAATTGGAAACTTTTCCATTCCCACAGTCTTATCGCCCCTGATTGGGCTGCATGCCCAGAGCACCCATCATGGGCAGACTCTGAATGCGACCTGCCCGCGAGGCTCCCAGCCACCCCCTGAGCCACACTCCCGGTGCCCTGTAGAATTGGAAGACATTCACAATTCCCTTTGTGTCTTTGAAGGATATTCCCCGAGTCCCTCCGGTGGCTAATGGCTACCCAGCAGTTTGAGTCCGCAAAGAAGCTGATCCTGCACTTCACACAGAAGAACCGCATGAGCCCCGAGAGTGACATCAAGGGTGTGATGCCCGGTGAGTACACCGCGAGCCGGCTGGGTGCCAACGGGCTCCATGAGCAGGTCCCCGATGCGTGCACTGGGTTTTTTGTGCCAAATGGCTGTCTTGGCCAGCGCTTCCATTCTCCTGTAACAACTTGTTCTGCATAAGGGCAGCAGTAGCGGCTCGAGTCTAGGAATGTGAGTGAATTTAAATTCTCTCCCTTTTCTAGGTGTTGGTTTCTTTCATGATCAAGTCCCACACACTGGGGTGCTCCACATCGCCTGTCCAAATCCAGAAGCAAGGCCTGAGCCAGATAGACACCTGCTCTTCAAGGGTATATTTGGCTGCTGGCACACAGCCCAGCCTGCCTGCCAGCCGGGTTTAAATACCACCAGAGCCCTGGCTCAGGGTGCAGGTGGCCTCCACGACCTCTCTTCCCAAGTACAACCTTCAGAGAGCCACATTGACTATTTCTGGCCATGACCCATTTGTTGAGCAACTGAAGGACAGGAAAAGAGAAGTATTTTTGTGTAGTGATTCAGATCCATAGAAGTCTCATGTGCCAGGAGCATTACCACAAGCTAGATTAGGGCTTTCAAGTTGTGGATCGATAAGTATCACCAGAAGGCTGTTAAAATCCAGATTCCTGGGCCCTCCCTGGCACCCAGAGATTCTGACCTAGTAGATTTGGAATAAGCTGAGAACTTACCTTTTCTTCCTGTCTTTTTTTATTTTTATTTTTATTTTTGGGGGGGGCATTTGGCCAGCACTGGTATCCCAGCCCTGGACTTTGGTGTTTTCTGCACTGCACTCTAACCAGCTGAGCTAACTAGCCAGCCCTAGAACTTGCATTTTTAGTAAGTACTAGAAGAGATTCCAATGCAAGTGGTGTACAGATCTCGTTTGCTCTGACCGACTAGCCTAACCTGAAGACCTGGTATAGACTATTGTTATAAAATTCCCCGGAAGAGTCATCCACAGGCCCTCATCCGAGAGAGAGTGTGCACATTTCCCCCGTGATCGGATGATTCACTCATCATCTAGCAGGTGCTTACTAAATGCCTGTGTGGGCCAGGCACTGGTGTAGAGCAGAGAAGCAAACAGGCGGCACCTTGTGCTCACGGAGCTTGCCGGCAGGTGGGGCCGGCCAACAGCGATCAGGAGGGATAGAACAGTGGGGCAGAGGGACAGAGGGTGGTGGTGAGTGACCATGGTTGGGAAGGCTCCCCAGGCACAGGTGAGCAGGGACCCGAGCAAGGTAGGAGATTGTGCCTGCAGGTCTCCTTCCTCAATGGGGAAGGGATATGTGGCAATCCCAAATCAGAGAAGCCCATGGTGCCTACACGGCTTCTCGTTAGACTCCCAATTCCAAAGACCTGGGGCTCTGTGTCAGTAGAAGCTCTCTAGGTGCCTCTGCTTGGCCAGGAGGACATCCCTGCCACCACCTGTGCCTGTGACCTGAGGGACCGGAGGGCGAGGCTGGGCCACTGCCTCTGCTGAGTGCCACGTGGTCTACCAAGCACTTCAGCACAGGCAGAAGAGTTCGAGTGAACCCAAAGCCCTAGCTTCAGTGGAATGAAGAGGGACTTGAGCCAGGTCTGGCTTTTGCGCAGGGTACTGAGTGCTGGTGCTTAGCAGAGGGACATCTATGCCACTTGCTATCCAGGGGCAGTGATAACAAGACAACACACAGTACTTTTGTGGTGGTCACTGTTGTAAATCATTCACAAATATTAACTCATTAATTTATTTAATTTATTGAAATATGATTGATTGTACATATCAATGGGGTACAGGGTTGAATATCAATACCTGTGTGCAATATGTGCTGCTTCAATTAGTATAATTAGTATATTCAACATGACACAATGTAATCATTTTTGCAGCCATTTACCAATTTCTCACTAATTTCTCTCCCCCTCTCCCTTTCCCACCTCTGGTGGCCTCAGTTCTGTTCTCTCCTTTTGAAAGTTCAACAAATTATTGTGATTGTTGTATCTTTCTTTCTTTTTTTTATTTATTTGTTTTTTTACCTCCCACTTACGAGTGAGGACATGTGGTATTTCTCTTTCTGTGCCTGGCTTATTTCACTTAACATAATTTTCTCTAAGTTCATCCATGTTGCTGTGAATGGCAGAATTTCATTCTTTTTTATGGCAGAATAGTGTTCCATTGTGTATATACCACATTTTCCAGTTGTTCATTGACGGACACTTGGGTTGGCTCCAACTTTTGGCTATTGTAAGTAGAGCTGTGATAAACATGGAGTGCAGGGATCTCTTTGACATGACGATTTCAATTCCTTTGGTATATACTCAGCAGTGGGATTGCTGGATCCTATGGCAGTTCTATCTGTAGTTGTTTGAGGAATCACCACACCATTTCCCATAGTGGCTGCACCAATTTACAGTCCCACCAACACTGTAGGAGGGTTCCCCTTTCTCCATATCCTTGCCAGCATTTGTTATTTTCTGTCTTTTTGATAACGGCCAGTCTAGCCAGCATGACATGGTATCACAGTGTGGTGCTGATTTGCATTTCCCTGATTTGACTCATATTTAACGTTCAGTCCTGAGTGCTCCACTCGTATTCACATATTTCCTCACGACAGTCCCATGAAGTCACCAGCTGCTCAGCAGTTGAGCCAGGATCTTCTCGAGAAGGTGCAGGCCCACCAGAGGTGCCTCTCTGTACCGCTCTGGAAGGGGAGGGCAGCCTTGGACACGGAGGCACCAGCGCTACTGTGAGGAGGGAATGAGCAGTAAATGAAGGTTTCTCCTTTTGGGCCACTTCTGCTAATTTTGGACCAACCAGATAGCATCCCCAAATCCCCAGGCCCCATTCATTAGCAGCTTAATGCCCTTAAGTCTCATAGTACACTTTGTTTCTGGCATTTCCCTAATTAAATCATTGTACTCCGCTTCTTTCAGGTTAAAACGTGGTCTGGGAAAAGCTTGTTTTCTCAGTCCTAATTACACTTATTCATTTCCCTCCTGTTTTGGGAAAGTTGGTACCAAATCTTTTGCTTTTTTTTTTTTCTCCCTTTCTTTGCTTATGAGGTTTGCTGGTGCTTATTTCTATCCCAGTGTCCCAGGCAGGAGGCTGGGTGAGCAGGAGTTGGCACGTGTGACTTCATGAAGGGGAATAAGGCTTCCCCTCCACTCAGGAGTGGTGGGCATGGCAGTGGTCCCCCCATGAGGCACATGCTTTCCCTCTGTGTCTGCTCTATCACCTCCTGCTGTCACATGCATTGATGACAGCCCCGTGGCAACACGGCCCCACACTTGGGCTCAGCCGCATGACTGCTTTATCAGGCTCAATCTGCCACTTCCAACTTCCTGATGCCAGACTCATCTTTCTGCATGGAATCTTCCTCCCACGGCTGCCTTAGTTTCCCTGCCAACATCCGGTCTCTCGCTGGGCTCACTTGCTGCCTCTGTCGGGTCCCCCTGTGTGGCTCCAGGCTCCCTGTGCCTCCTCCCTCTGCAGCCATATCCAGCGTGACCTCATCACATCACCACCTGCTGGAACACTCCCAGGGCATTTAGGGCAGATCCCAGATCCTCCAAGCCTCTCGGAGACCCTGTCTGATCTCTTTCTACCTCCCCCGGCCTTCTTTGGTTCCCATGACATGTGCTCTCCTGCTCTCCACAGGGCCCTCCCATGCAAATTCCCCGTCCCTTCTGCCCCCACTCTGTCTTGGCCAACTCCTGTGACACCAGGTCAGCCTTCCCACTGTACACTGTTACAGCTGCACACTCCACTCCATGTCCCCTCATCCTGGCTGTCACAAGTGACTCATGGACTCCTCACTTGTGCCATCACCCTGCAGAGCTGCAAGGCTTGGCAAGGCAGAGCCCCAGTCTCTCGAGCGGCTGCTGGCTGTAGCCCCAGTGCCAGCAGAAGACCTGATGCGTAGCAGGCACCCCATGAATGTTTATAGATAGATGAACCCTGGTCTCCTGGAGTCAGGAAGGGTTGGGCTTGCTGTCTGCACTGCCTCCGGGTAGATGAGCGTCCAAGGCCTGGCCATAGGTGTGGAGGCGAAGGAGGGGCTGTGCGTGCCTCTGTCATGCACCCTCACCTTGGGCTTATGCTAGAGGAAAAGCTGACATTCCGAAATTTTCTATCTCTTTTAAATAGAAAGTTTCAATTTCTTTTAAAGCGTCTTCAGTTGATCTTTGAACATGTCTGCTGTTCTCAGTAATGTGCGCAGCTGTATTATTTCAGATATTGGATATGCTCCCGAATATCATTCTCACCAAGTCAGTCCCACAACCTTAGCATCAGCTGACATGCCCAGCACTGACAGATGTCCTTCCTGCATGTTCAGTATCTACAGCAGGAGCAGAAGTCTTGCTGGTTCCACATGTGGCCATGCAGACTGCAGCCCCCGAGCAAAGAAACCCAGAATAAGAGCCACACACACAGCCCTCAGTTTTAGGAAAAGTAAGACGAGCCAGGAGCCTGGGCAGTGACCCCGCCAGGTGTGGGCATTCAGCCCACATCAGCACCTCCTGAGGGATGGCAGTTCTCCCTGCCTCACAGGTGGGGAAACGGGGTGCAGTGGGGCTGAGTGTGAGGAACTGTGATCCCCGCTGCTGACGCTCCGTCCATGGGAAAGGAGCTCTTAGTGGAAAGCCAGCCCCAGCAGAGGGAGAGCAAACCACTCCCCTTTTTCTCTCCCTGGGGATGAGCCACATGCAGGGAGTAGGTGTCCTCCGTCCTCAGGCTCCATGTCCTCTCCAGGCAGCCCCCTGGAGAAGTCAACCTGCTCCAACATAGCCAGCGGGGGCGAACGAGTCTGCATGACCCAAGCGTCCCGATCTCAGGCCCCAGCAGGGCTCCTTCAGCCCTCAGCAGTAACAGAGCCTGGGTTTCGCCCTCTCCTGCCTTACTGTCTTGTCCATCTCCTCCCAAGTGAAGGTGCCAAGAGGCCACTGCAGCATCCCCAGTAATAGGTAACTTGCCCAAAGTGAGACTAACCCAGGCTGCTGCCCAGAACCCCTGCCTCCAACCCATGTGGTGGCATCGCCACCTCTCCCATAGTGTCGCAGGCTGGGGCGGGTGGAGGCATGTGTGCCCAGAGACAGTGGCAGATCAGCAGTGCTGGTGGCTGTCAGACTTCAGCTGGATTTTGAAGACTGGGCTCTCTAAGGCATCTTTATGACAAGCTCCGTCTCAATACTGTCATCTCCTGCTCACTCTCGGAGCACGTTCATTCTCAAGGGGCCAAATGCCACCTTCTATATCTGCACCCAAGGGCGAGGGGCTGTATAGCAGGGAGGCCACAGGCACTTTCTCCACCTTGAACCTGGGTTGGGGCCTTGGTGCTGTGTCCTTGGAGCCGTCACTGTGCATGTTCTTCAGTGACCCTTGCAGCGGGCCACGTGATTCTCTTCCTCCTCCCCCTGTTTGTCTTTCCTTGTCTTTATTTCTATAACTGACAATTTTCCAGTTCCACCACTGACACATTAGCCATGTCCACAAATCAGAAGCGAAACCAGTTTGGGTGGTGTAAATAACACAAGGTCCAAGGTTCCATCCATTACCAGACCGCCACACACACATACAAGAAAGCAAAGCCACTTTATCTCGCAGCCACCCAAGCTAGCTCAGACTCTCCTCTGTGTGTGTTCCCTGCCCCTCCTGAGCCTGGCCTCGGGTGAGCCACTCCCGCGTCCTCCCTCTGCTTTCTCAAGGACCCTGACAAGTGCAAAAGCCGGGCTTCTGCACAGCCTCGTCAGCCCCTGCGTGCACCCAGAGCTCTGGCCCTGACCGCTGGGGGATCGGCGGCTGCAGGGTGGCGGCGACATACCTGGCTCGTCAGAACTATGTAGGCTGCGCTCTGTTTCTCATGGCTCCACCTCAGGATGGCCGAAGGGTTTGGGAAGGGGACGGCCGAGGGGTGCTTTCAGCAGCAGCGCCCTCAGTTCTCACGTCTGATGACTGCTCAGGCCTCCTTTCGCTCCTCTTATTTTCCTGTACAAGGAGTCTAGAAACGTTCCTAGGTTACCATGTGATAACTAGAGAGACAAAAAGCCTCTTGTACTCAGTGGTGTTTGGGGTCTCAGAAGTCAGCTAATGTTTCTTATAACTCAGTGGACTTTTGTCCCAGAAGAACAAACTTAGTGCTGCAGAAGTTTCAGGTTGTTATGGATAGGCTGGTGATATGAGTCACAGAGACCCTGACAAAATATCTATAGCCCTGGAAAGGTTAATTTAATTCCATTTAGGTAATGCGGTGACCGACGCAGGCTGCAGTCAATTGTTTAGACTGGCTCTAGGGTTTAATGTTATTAAAAAACTCAAGCCATAATGCAGTTGCCACAGCTTCCGTAACATTGTATTTCACATACAGTTGTGCATCAGGAGTCAAGTCTGGGCCACATGAAAAAAACCTTTAAATTTATACGAACATGCTGATGGACACTTACGTTTTCTTCTTGGAAGACTCATCTGGTGAGAAAGTGTGGCTATTGTAATTGACTTCTGATGAGTTTTACAACAACAAAGATACTCAGTCCATTGGATCCAAGATTATCTGTTAAACATAGTATTTTTATGCTCTTTAAAATGCTTAGTTTTTTAATTGTAGAGAGAATATGTCTTTAGGTCAAATTAGCCTATTTTTGCTGATGGGAAAGTAAAGGTCGTAAGACCTCGGGAGCCACAAGGGTCCATGGACAGACGGCCAGGGTGCCAGTCGTGCGGTGTGTGCACAGACCTTGATCTTTGCACCTAAATGTGGGAGGAAGAAATTTCTGGAACCTTCAGAGGCAAAGAATTCCTCAGACAGCAAAGGTTTTGCCTTCTGCCTTCTATGCCCTGGGTGGTGACACTGAGTCCAAAAAAATTGTTTTAATAAAAAATTCCTAAACCCCTGTGGTTAAGCAACATATTTTTCCTTCAAACTGTAAGGAATGAGGTCGTGACCCTCCTGTCACCGATGGCGGGGGAGGTAGAGGAGGAGAGTTGAACTTGGGCCAAGTGTGGGGGAGGGTCCTGGAGGACACTGTGGGGACAAGTCCCCAACAGGGGGCTGCTCCGTGTCCTTCCTACAATAGTTATGTGCCTCCAAGCATGAAAGGCTTCCTTGGTAGCTTGAAGCCCCACCCCCACGACTTTTTTTTATTTTAAGTAAGTTTCTTATTTTGGAATAATTTTAGATTTAAAGGAGAGTTACCAAGACAGTTCAAAATTTCCATCTACCCCTATACCCCTCACTCGGTTTCCCCCGTGTCGACATCTGACAATACCACAATGCATCTGTCACAGCCAAGAAGCGCTGCTGTTGACCACGCTCCAGCCTCTGTTCACACCTCCAGTTTGTGCACTGATGCCTCTTCCCGCTGCGGGATTCCAGCCAGGACCACATATGGTCGTCCCCTGTCCCCAGACTGCTCTGGTCTGTGACAGTTTCTCAGTCTTTCCTTGTTTTTATGACCTTGACAGCCTTGAAGTCTCCTTTTCCGTTTTTAGCTCATAAGTAGGGAACTATTCCACAAGGACAGCCCTGTGCTAGGAGAGCAGAGAGGGGACCAGAGGGCTGAACGCGCTTCTACCCGCAGACGTGTGGGCAGGTCGCTCCTGGAGGCCGAGGCATTTCCTTCGGCAGACTTGTCAGTCTGCGGCGCTGCTGGACTCCGTTCAGAACGGCTTTCAGAGCTAGAAACTTGGCCTGATAACTTTATCCCTTGGAGCCAAAACACTGTCCATCTGGTTCAGCTCCCAAAGACCCGACAGTTACCTAAAACATGCGTAGATACATGTACATGTATGTGTGCGTGTATGTACACACACATACCTACTGTCATACATATTTATTTATTTGTCTTTCAAAGATTCATGTGCTCAAAGGGCAGCTTCAGCAGAAGTAGCTGCAGTCCTGGGAAACTCTGCCCCACGGTTGAGGAGCTCTCCCACGTGGCTGTCCGGTCTCTGAGGTGTGCAGACTCTCAGGAAAGGAACCAATATTCTGATTTGCCCAGGGCCTAGTTAGTGCCTCATAACCCAGAATGTCATCATGTAGACAAAAGTGAAATGAGTCTGCGCCGTCTGTCTGTGTGTACCTGCCTGGCTCCACAACAGGGTTTGCGATCGACACGCACCCTGACAGTGTACCCTGGCTCCCTTCTGGCACTGGAGGGGAATTTGAACTGCAAAGGTAGAATCTTGTGACCTCATTTCTACCCTAAAAGCCTAGACTCTGTCCCCTGGCTTAAAAAAAAAACCAAGTCTTTCTCCCCTTTCTGTGGTACGCAAATTGAGAACCAGAGCTGTGGCTGTGGCTGCCATCCAGGGTCCTCCGTCAGTGGCTGCCCAGGGCTCACACGATCTCTTTCTTGCAGAGCTGGAGAAGGAACTTTCCCGGAGGCCCAAGAAGGTCTGCATTGTGAAAGTGGTGGGGACCCGGAACCTGTGGAAGAACATTGTGGTCCTGTGTGTGAACTCGTGAGTCCCGAGGGGAATGCATGCCCGCTGAGATGGGCAGTGGCCGGGAAAGGGAGTGAGCAGCGTGAGGCTGCAGGGCCCTTCTCCCTACCCCAGCTGGACTTGAATCACAGCCTGGGCAGGACCCCGTGCCTGCCTGAGCCCACTCTCTGGGGGCCGGCTCTCTGCAAAGGAGCCCTGGGGAGTCTGGCACCCTGTCAGAGCTTCCTAACGGTGGGTCTCCAGGGTGACAGGGCTTGAAGTTGTGGACTCTGCACCTGGAAGCCTCAGGCCAGCCCAGCCATGCCACTCAGTGCTAGAGCTCCCAGGTGTAAGGCAGTGGGGGATGGGGGTAAAGCCCCAGCCAGGGATGTGCACTTGAATGGTTCCCGCTCTCTGCCCCGCGCGGTGGTCTCATTACCCCAGTCAGTGTGAACCTGTGAGCAGGGCCTCTCACCACGGACCTCTTAGTCACAGGGGAACCAAGTGTACACGAATGTACCTCTTTTGCATGTGCAGGGGGAGGAGACTCGAGGTTGGAATTCCCGGGCACTGTCTCAGGAGGGGGTTTGACCCCCGTTGGGCCATGGCCCACTGCTTATCCCAGGCCTCAGAGTAGCTGTTATCCCAACCTGCAGCCTTGCCTGGGCAGAGGCCCCCACCCAGGGCAGCTGCAGGGTGAGGGGCCTGCTGGAACCCAGATGTAAGCCCAGACATCCTCCAGAAGCCCCTCCCATGCTGCTGTCCACACCACTGCGGGGACCTGTGGCCATTGCTCATGCAGCTTCCTGGCAGCCCCCATCCTGGGCACAGCGTGTGCCTCGAAGGTCATTCCTGTCTCCACTCACTGCTCAGTAGCCCTTCCCGGACTGCACAAGGTGGACCCTCATTCAAGGCCAGAGTTCGTCTAAGGGAAGAGGGTTGCACTCATTGGTGAAAGGCCTCAGGGCTGCCCTTGGTTGAAGAGAGGCCCAGGGTCAGGGCTTGGGACCAGCAGCTCCATTTAGTCAGTTCTCTTGGGTTCTAGATTAGCTTTCATTTGGAAGGGATACAAAAGGTTCTACTGCCAAAGCAATGGAAGAGCATGGATCTAATGTACACCCTCATCCGAGGCTCAGGCCAGCGAGTGACCAGCCCCAGCCAGGTGGTGGTCAGGTCCCTGCCCAGTGGTGGCACCGAGCATGATCACCCGACTACTGTCCAATCTCAGGCAGATGCTGGCAAGGCTAATGGTGTCATCAGGAACTGAATGACTTCTTAACTTTTATGTTGGAAAAAACACAAAATTTGACATAAACAAGATGGCAAGTTTCCATTTTAATGAATCTTGTTGAGGGAACGGGAATCAGTCTCTCTGGTTTTATCTTAAATTCCCTGTTGCGGTCAGAGTACTTCATTTCTACCAGAACAGAAAGGTGGAAGGTTGCCCTGAGATCTCTGCAGGCCAGGAGAAAGAGAAATTCATCTGAGATCCCAGGAGACTAACCAGCTCCAATCAATTGCTAGTTCATAAAACAGTGGCAAAGCAGACTGGCTCCTCAGCCGAACATTCCCAAGTGTGTCTGCGTTCATTTAGCAAAGGGTGGCTTCCTCCTGCGGCGGGCAGGGTCTGTTGCGGTTGACCTTGGGATTGACTGCATTAGCGCATGGAAGGTGCTCTGTCTTACATGTTGGCTTCCCATGAAAGAACACATCTCCCCGCTACTGTGTGATGTCAGAGGAGCATGAACAGGACCCCCACGGGGCAGGCGCTGACATCTCTCTGGCATTTTACTCTTCCATAGACTCGGCTGTGATAGCATGTTTTTCCATTACATGTTGAGTTACTTCTCTATCCTCTTGTCACTGGACATGATGAATTCCCAGCAGGTGGCGTGGCCCCAGAGTGTGCCCACCGCCTCCTCGGTGTGTCTCTGCAGGCTGACGGGGTTCGGGATCCACCACTGCTTTGCACGGAGCATGATGGGCCACGAGGTGAAGGTGCCGCTGCTGGAGAACTTCTATGCCGACTACTACACCATGGCCAGCATCGCGCTGGCCTCCTGCCTGGCCATGTGCCTGGTGGTCAGGTTCCTGGGGCGCAGGGGGGGACTGCTGCTCTTCATGATCCTCACCGCCCTGGCCTCGCTCCTGCAGCTCGGGCTCCTCAACCGTGAGTGGGGCTGGTGGGGGTGGAGGGCAGTGAACCACCAAAGGTCATTGGAAGGGCTGAGTGAGACGTGAGAAAAGGTTTCCATGACCTGCATGGTCATCCCCAAGTCAACAGCCTGAAGAAACCACTTGGGGAAGGACAGAGCTCCACTTGGAGCCTCTCTGGTACCTGCCTTCCCCTCCCCCTCCCCAGCATCGTGGCGCAGCCCAGAGGCTCCGTGGCTCCCTTGCAGTCCTGATGGACATGGCTTCAGTAATGGGCAGCTATTTATGTGATTCATCACATGACAAAGAACAAAGGATCGTTTCTTTCATGTGACATTAAGGGGAAGTGAATCTCTTTTGACACCCGTGCATTGGGGCACTGCTTTTCAATAGACCTTCCCAAGTTCAGCTTTTCTTTGGACCAAAGAATTTCAATAAGTATTAAAAATAATCTAAGGCAAAGCCAGAGACTCCATCTAGCCCCTCCAAAAGCTCAGTATAGCTCCTCACAAATAAATACCCACTTGCACATGCACAAGAACCAGCATGGCATCTCCCTAGCCAGCTCAGTGTGACATGGATGACCAGGACAGCTGAGCCTTCTTGCCCATGCATGGTCCCCCTGGTCCAGGCTCAGGACACAGGAGGACACAGCCCAGGCAGGGCAATCAATGCCACCGAGCACTCCTCTCCTTTACAAGGAAGTCTGGCCCGAGCTGTCAGAACTAGACTCAGTGGCTGTCCTGTGGCACCCCAGATCAGAGCAGCCTTTTGTGCAGACCAGATTTTAGAAGAGCTAGTTTCACACTCCAGAGCAGTTTTTCTAAGTTGGGCAGGTTTTTATGCATCCTTTACCTTGCTGAGATGGTCTTATTTCCAGCTGTGACTAGTAATGGAAAGGGATAAGGGGCATCTGTATCCCTCCAGCCCCCATCCCGGCTCCTCAGTGGGCACTGCCCTAGCCACCCTGTCAGGGAGTCTCTGTCCCACTCACATGGTTGGGACAGATGTGGCAGAGTGCCTCAGTCCCCGGGTGTCACAGATGCCCTCTCTGGCCATAAGCAGGAAAACCACAGGAACGCTGGGCAAGTAGCCAGAGCTTGGACAGGTGGGATGCTACCCAACAGGTCCATCCATGGTGCCCGAGGCTTCTTGAGTGCAGACCAGAGGTGACCCCTGAATAACTTCCTAGGGAGGGAAGTTCACCCTTTGGATTGCTGGGGTTGTCTGGGGAAAGTTCCACTCTCCACGGGCTCTGAGGCCAGTGGGGTTTTAGCCCTTTTCCCAACAAGAAGACCTTTGTTTGGTCCAGTGTAAATTCTGCTGCCCACACAGCCAGTGCCCACCCAAACGTGGGAGGGGTTCACAGGGGCACGCGTCGCATGGGAACGGGCCGTGATGACTCCACACCTGACACGCTGTCTCCTCTTCCCCCTCTCCTCACCCCTGCCCGCGGGCCCAGTGATTGGGAAGTACAGCCAGCATCCAGATTCAGGTGAGTCCCAAAGCTTGCACTGTGTGGCTGCATCTCTCACGCGTGCACACGGGCGACATCACAGAGACTCACGGACCTGTGGTTTCCTTTCCTCTCTTTCTTTTCCCCCTCATCCTCCAAGAACTGCAGCTGAAGTTGGCCGTAGGTTGGACACTATACGCACACATTTGTGTTCCCTGACCCCTCTCGCCTCTAGAAAGAGCGCCTGCATTGCCCCCCACCCCCCATCTCTATGTAGCTTGGCACACGCGCCTTCCCTTCCCCTGACACCAGTGGTCAGCACAGGCCCCGGGCCCGGCACTGATGCCCTTTGTCCCATGGACAGCCCCTGGGCGAGAGCAGAAAGCCTGGGCAGTGTTTGGTGCCTGCCTGTCCACACTGTTGGGGGAAGCCGCTTGGGACCCATGCAAGCTTGCTGCTCTGTGACCATGGGAGACAGCAGAGCCGCTGCCCTGCACCTCGAGGCTGCTGTGATACCTGCCTGGCCTGACCTGAGCCTGTGCCACCAGTGCCCTGGGGAGCGCTTCCCCCCCGACGCAGCCTTGGGGGGGCCGTGCCCCACATGCGGGACCCCCAGCAGCATGCTGATGTGCTACGCTAGCCACTGCCTTTGTGCAAGGTCAGACGCTGGTGCCATTCACAAGGTGCTTGGATAGGCTGAGTGCCTTCCCTCCCTCCAGGCCCTAAATTCTTCTGTTTGGGTTATTTGAATTTGTGTTCCCTTCAACCAGCACTAAAATGCCCCATCCCATGTATTGGACTGGTCACAGCAGAGGCTGGACCAGCCGAGGCTCTCTGGAGTGCAGAGCCCTCTGGAGGCCGGGCAGAAGGGATTCTGCTGTGTCACCGGGAGACACCAGCCTGCCCTCCCACCAGGTGTGGCTCTGGGCTGAGTAATTCTGCTTGACACACCAGGAGCTCGCAGGGGCTGTAAGGGCTGGACTCCCAAGCTTGGCGGTGCTGCTGGGTCCCGGGGGAGCGGCACACTGGTCTGCACCACACACTGGGCGGTGGGGAGCAGGAAGCCCCGGGATGGCCAAGGCCTCCCTGCTGTCTGTTCCCTTTGCCCCTGCTCTTGTGTCCTCTCTTTCTTCCCTGCTGCTCCCCTCACTGTCCCCTCTTTCTGATTCTCCTTCAGGGATGAGTGACAGCGTAAAGGACAAATTCTCCATCGCGTTTTCCATCGTGGGCATGTTCGCCTCCCACGCGGTGGGAAGCCTCAGTGTGTTCTTCTGTGCGGAGGTCACCCCCACAGTGATAAGGTGCGTGACACTAGCACCCGCAGGACACTCTCTTCCCAGGACTCGGAGGTGAGTCCCTGGCTGCAGGCTCCGTTCTGCTTGTGGACCAGGGCACTGGCGTACTCGGTATGACTCACCACCCAGATGGCCAGTGTTGCCCCGACCCCGAGGCACCCGAGAGTCAGGTGAGGACTTGACCCTGGGGGCCTGACCAGGCAGCAGCACAAGGAGCAGGGAGCTTTTCAGGGCCCGGGAAACGTGATAAAGACTGAAAAAGGAGAGAAACAAGCAGCTCACTCATGCCCACACTTCAGCCAAATTCAGTGCTGTCAGCATTCTAGGAGACCTTGGTGACAAAGCCACCCAGAAGGAGAAAGGAAATGCATCTTACTGGCTTGCAAAGTTGATGCACTGACCCAAAGAAAGGCCTGAGAGAGAAGAGGCCCAGCAAGTTATGTCACTGCTCTGTGAAATCAGTACTTCCTGAGAGCCCACTGTGTGCTGGGAGGTAGGCCAGGTACACAAGATAGCTTGGCCCGGCCCTCGTGGAGTTCAGCATTATTTCATACTTTCCCAAAAGGTGTTGTTAACTTTGCTTAGCTACCTGTGTCTTACTTGGTAAAGTGAGGTTGAGTCCTGCCTGGTGCTGTCCCTGGGTACAGCACAAGGGTGCCAGGCACACTGAACGCTGTTATGACTACAGCACGCTGGCAGGGCATGCCCTTATCTAACAGAGCCTTCCTTAACTGCAGTTGGGTCATTTTCCTAATACTTACTGTTTGTGACCGACCAAAGAACGTGTATTGATTTATCTCACACTGCACTTTTGGGGGGAATATCGTTAACATTTCTAATGCACTTCCTTTTTAAAAATATGAAGTGTGGGTTTGGGCAGTTATTCAGCTGTGAGATAAAACCCAGAAGTCAGCCAATGACACCCTTGGGTAGAAAAAGTAGTGGCCTCTCCAGTTCACGGCAGGGCGTGTAGAGACTAATTATTTTAGCCCCTGTGGTGCTGGGAAGTATTTGGGAGAAGGCAGGCCAGTTCACGGACATTCTTCCTTTCCACGAGTCCAGTGGTTGTGCTGACAACAGGGTCTTCACATGACCTCGTTTTGATTCACTCCCTTGGACTTTTACAGTTCAAGCCAACCCTGGTGGCTACTCAGTACCCATAAGAAAATGCCAAGGTATTGTAAGTTTAAGAAAAAACAACTGGGCTGCCTGTTAGCTGAGTTGGTTAGAGCCTGGTGCTGATAACAGCAAGGTCTGGAGTTCCATCCCCGGACTGGCCAGCCGCCAAAAATAAAAAGCAATTAAGTGCCAAGCAGTTCATTCTGTTCCAACCTTCCACAGAATCCACAGTGAGCAGAGTCAGGAGCTTGTTTCCTGATTGCACCTGCAAGACACCCGAGGCAGAGAACCCTTGACCTTGGTGTTATAACACTGTGCTCTAACCAACTGAGCCAATCAGCCAGCCCTCCTTCATTTATAAAAGAATACAGCAAAGACGATTCTCTCAATAAAGCAGAAGTCATGGTTAGTCTTTCCAGACCTCCGGCCAGCCTCTCTGCAGCCTTCGTGTGGTTATGTGTATTTCCCCCAGGGGCAGGCACATCTCTCCTGTAGTTGGGGGGCCTCGTTATTCATTGTTAGATGTGCTTAGCAAACTAGACTGAAGGAAAGGTGGTATCCTTTACCTCTTTGATGCAAACTTGAAAAGATTATTTGGGGATAGAAATTCAACAAAAATTTTCTCAGATTCTGCTCACCTAGATGACAAACTAGAAAAAATATTTGAACTTTGGTGATGTTTTCGTACCTACACAGGATGAAAGGAAATTCAGTCCAAAGGAGTCTCCTGGCCAGGCTGGAAGAATGTCTGGCGTTTCCAATGAATACTCTTCTAACCGCGAGCCTTTCACCTGTGCCTGCAGAAGGCCACTGCTCTTTCTTGCAAATATGTTCAGGAACAATTCTTACAGAGTCCCTGGGACACAAAGGGACTTTCCTGCTGTGCCCCCACTTCCACAGATAAACCTGGGAGAAGCTAGAATGGGCAGCTTGGGATCTGGGAGTTTCATCTTCCTTAATGCAAAGCTAGCCTTTTTCTACAGTACTGTATTTAATACAAACCTTGGAAACAAAAACAGTAGCAAAGATTAAGATGCCAGGATTGATTGACTGGAAACAAATACCAGGATAAGACCTTTTCTGCACAAAAGCTTGCAGAAACCTCTTGTCCCAGGGATGAGACTTAGAGACCAAGCAGAGTAAAGTAAATACTGTTGCATGACATTCTGTCCAGACTTTATATTACAGAGACTTTCTTCCCTCCCACCTTGGCTCAGTCCAGGTACAACAGCTTCTTAGATTCACTTCGGAGGCTGAAGCAGTCGAGCAACTTTGCAGGCAGATTGGGAAGGACCCAGTATCTGACAGCACCCATCCCTCCCCTTGCCTGGACAGAAGTTGCCTGGGGTCCTGAGTTGATCTAGAAGGAGCTGGTGGCTTTTCTGTTCACGGTCCATCTGGATGCTGCAGGTGGAACCCCGAGGCCTGCACTGTCCTCCCTTCCCCTCACGAAGGTGTCAGGCGCTGGTGACAATGACAAGCTGCTTCATCATCTGACATAATTCCTCATACGTGCCCTCAGAGCCCAGCTCTTCTGCTCTGTCCTCTCCTGCCCACTCCAGTGGCCCCAGCCCTCTCTTCTGGATGACAGTGGGACTGACCCCCCGCCCTCCCCCAACCGACTTCCCCCTGCACCAGCTCCCACGACCCCCTACTGCTGCATGCCTGCCTTGGGAGTAGGCACCCAGGGCAGAGATGGCCTGTTAATGTGGCATTTTGGGTCTGTTTAGCTACTTTTAAAATGTGTATCTTAAGAAAAGACCCAACATTTGATGAATAGCGAGTGACCAGCTAGGACGCCACGTGCGTCCAGCCGGGCCCAGCCGTGCGTGCTGGGAGCCAGTGGCCTGAGGGAGAAGCCAGAGCTGGGCTCGGGCTGAGGGGGACGGAGCGTGTGGCCTCGGGCAAGGCTCGCAGCCAGCTCGCTTCTTTGCCTTCAGGAGAGTGTAGAGGCCACTACCTGAGTGGCGGTGAGGAGTGGAGAGAGGGAGAGAGCACGTGCCGCGGTCCTGGCCTCCGCGGGTGACAGTCAGCACCATTATTCCTGCCTGAACGTTTTTGGCAGCTACCTTTATTTCTGTAAAAATTGGTACAAATATTTGTTCAGCCTTGACTTCACAGAGGTGTAGTAAAGACAGCCAAGTAACACAAAGGAGGAAGTGAGAAATGGGAGGTTGGTTTCTCGTGTTAAATGCACGAGGCGGTCTCGTGCTTAGCAACATTTGGACGTCCTGGAATTCTTTCATGCTTGCTGCCTCTAATAACAAGTCTGCCTGGGGATCGGCCTTCTGTTCTTTAAGTGACGTAGATATTATTACTAGTAAAATGAAGATGTCTGGGGGATGTTAAATGTCAGTGCCCGGGCAGCAAAGCCGGTCTCCTTCACTGGCATTGAGGCGTCTCTGACTTGTAAACCTGGGCACGTGCTGCCCTCTGGTGACAGCCTGGAGAGACGCAGCAGTGCACAGGCAAAGTCCACGTGGGGGGACGGGAGTGAACCTAGCGCCTTAAAACCAAGCGTCCAGCGATCCCACTCATCACACTGCGACTTCAAAAGAGAAGAAACACAGCCAAAACTGGTATACCAACTTCTGCCAAAACTGCTCCTAATCTTCCTGAATAATTTCAAGGAATCTTCAATGAAAACCAAACAGAAAAATTGCTTTCATAGAAAAAAATGTATATATGTGTGTGTGTATATGTACCTATATTGCATATTATATACACACATACAGATATACGTAGGTTTTGCTTTGGGGGTTTTTTTGGCGGCTGGCCGTCGCCGGACCCGAACCCTACCTTGGTATTATCAGCACCATGTGCTCACCAACTGAGGTAACTGGCCAGCCCATACATAGGTATTTTTTTAATGAGCTATAAATCAAATATACTTCATTTCACCTGGCACAGTTTATGAACATGGTATATTAATATGAGGTGGTTCACTTGGCGTTATGCATTAAGCCCTTTAACAGCGGCTCCGTGCACGCCCTTCCTGGGGGTCTGCACCCTGCCCTGCTGTGTAGTAGCCCCGAGTGAGCGAGGGAGGTCCCCCTCACTGCTCGTCGGTGCCATTCACACTTAGTGCCAGGAAGGGCAGGCTGAAACCAAGGAGCTTTCTGAGAAAATGATGCCTTAGTGGCATCAAAGGCCACAATTAAACATGCCCATTACTCCTTGCATCCAACATACATCCCTTGCAGCATCCCGTGGCTCCTGAAGGGGCCAGGTCTATCAGAAAGACTAAGTGGCTATTCTAGGCATTCGTGTTATTCATCCTACAGACAGGTTCGCTCTTGTTGCTCTTTGTCGTGGTCATCTATATTTAGCCTGTCCCATTCATTTGGGCAAGCTGACCCTCCTACCTAGGAAGCCTGCGTGATCCACAAGCAGCCGATATTTATTAAGCACAAACAGTGCGTGCAGTCCATGTCCTAGAAAATAACCCCTGCCCTTGGAGGGCTCATCGACCAGTAAAGATGACAGGCACATGAACAAACACTGACAGAAAGATACAGAGTGCCTTTAAAAGGTGGTCTTGGACCCTCTTCCTGGGAAGGGGGTTGGTGTCTGGGAGACACTCCCCAGAATCTTGTTCTTTTTTCCATCCCCTTGCTGGCCCAGCAGCAGACTGATGTGACTCTTCTCGCAGCTCTGCAGCCTCTCCTTCAGGGTTGGGCTTTCTAGTACAAAGTACCAGTGACCTGTCACGCCCTGGGTGAGAGCTGACTGTTTTCCTTCCATGGCTAAGGCTGGGGAATTCTGTCACTCACTGAGTGTACTAGCTATCTATAGCTGCATAACAAATTACACCCAGAGCTTGGTGGCTTAAGGTAGCACATGTAGTCTCACCATTTCTGTGGGTCACAAGTCTGGCACAGCTTAGC